TCCCTGTTGCGTTCCAGAGCTCGCAATTTTTAATTAAAACGTATGCAAGTAACTCCGTTGTAATCCGTGGCGTTGATGTCACTTCGGGCGGCAAGTTGTCATGGCGGCGCGCTTTGCCCGCGTTTGGCGTTTCTCCAGGCGCAGTGCGGTCGTGTCGTCGATGCGCACTGGACATTTTTCGTGTTACATTTTTTTTCTTTCCTCCCCCATTTTCCTCTTTCATACTCCATCGATTAAATATTCAACTCGATCCGTCACTCGCCTCGTCTCGAGGATCCCGTGAACAATCTCACGTGTGTCTCACGAGATCCTATATCTCTCTGGAAAGAAATATATATATATATATTTCTCGACGGATATACAGATCTACGGAATCACGTTTCCTCGTGAGGGGCCATTCTCTCGTAACGATGCAAGGAAACGTCGCCCCGCGCTTTGTATCTATCTAAGGACACTTTGCAACTTTTCCTTGGCGAGAGAAGAGAGTTCGCGGGGGGAGGAAGGGAGGGGGACAAGCAGCGCGCGGGCAAGCGTTTGCCTACAGATGAACATCGAGATAGAAAAGAAGACGAGACAAGAAACTACCAGCGGCTATGTAATACAGGTAAGGCTCTTGTATGCATGTATAGCGAATAAATGAGAGAGAGAGAGAAGCAGTTTCAAAAGCGAAAGCTCGCAAGCGAATCGAAACTGGAAAAGAGAAAGAAAGAGAGAGAGAGAGAGAGAGATAGATACGGAGGAGAAGAAAGAGAGAAATAAAAAAGAAAAACGAAAAACGCAAGGAGAAACGCAACAGCGGTGTATGTATATATATATAATATACACACGACGAAAGGCAAGTACGAGGCTCGTACGAGAATTTCACATTGTGCTCATCCTGCTATCCTCGACGGGCGGCCAGATTCTGTGGTGTGATATATGCGTGCACATAATCTCGCGGCACACCTGCGTGCGTGGATTATCTGCGTGCATACACGTGATTTTGTGCAAGCACGCATACGCATCAATATCGATATGTGATGATATTGGAATATGTGTGTGTGTGTGTGTGTGTATAAAGGGCAGATCATCAGTAGTGATTCATAGCGACCAGAAGCAAGTACTGCACACACACACACACACACACACACACGCACAATGATTAACAGCTTAATTAATTAAAACAGTGTGTCGTAGTATATCCATATAATATAATATAAATTATACGTATAGATAATCTATCGACACTATTTATTCCTATGTTGTGATATAATCTCGATTGTAATCGTCGCACAAGGTATGTAGTCTTTACTTTTCCTTTTTTTTTTTTTTCTTTTTTCTTTTCCCCCTTCCTTTTCTCTCATTATCGTATCGTATCGTTCTATGCGTTCGTCGGCTGGCCGGAAGGAAGAATAGGGATTTAGGGACACAGGGGATCTGTTATATCTCGTTCGATTGTTTCACGTACTCTCTCTTTTGCCATCTATTTCCGCTCCTCTTTTGCATGTTTCCGTTCGTCGTGAACCCGACCCGAGAAACGTCCGTCTGATGTCCAGAATCTGGGGGATAACGGGGGATAGGGAAGAGAGAGAAAGAGAGATAGATAGATAGATAGAGAGAAAAAGAAAGAGAAAGAGAGAGAGAGAGAGAGAGAGAGAGAGAGAGTCGTTGGCAGCATCGTTCGCGCGAGACCTTCTCGCTGATGTGACCTCGACGAACGTTGTGGAAATTCTAAAAGGAAAGATGAAAGGGGGTGGCAAATTGATAGGAAAATTGGCTACTTTCCTCGAAAGGGGGAACAAGTCTTCCGTTCGAAGACGATCAGACGACTGGATTATATATATATATATATATATGATGAAGAGAGCGAGGGGAGGGAGGGAGGGAGGTATGGAGGCTCGCCAACGGGTGTAAAAATCGCGAGTCACGTCCCAGGTGACAGTGTCGACTTGATTTGGTTTCCGCACAGGGCTCAACACCTGGGGTCCAGCCTCGTGCATTCAGCTCTCAAACTCGCATCCCTGGATCGCTAAATGATCGATTCTTTTTTTTGTTTCTTTTCGATTATTATTATTATTATCTCTGTCCTTCGAGATCGAAGGAGAATATTCGATTCTCAAATTCATCTTCCATGGATCCAGTTTTCGCGCCAGTTTGAAACTGATTGCAGACACCGGAACAGACATCTTTGAATACTACAGGAATATACGCAATACACAATACGTCATATATGATTACGCTATATATACGTATCTTAAATATTGAGAAAGAAAATTTATATATATTATATATTTATATAGTATATATATATATATATATATATATATCTATATATATATATATCATACGTGACGCTGTATACACGCTTATATACGTATACATCTAGAGATTGCGAAAGTACGTGTACGTCTACGCGTATATATGCGTGCCTCAACGTATGTGCGGCCTGCAGCGCTCGAATCGCGACTCGTGGGATCGCGTTTAAAACTGATTCGCGGGAGGAAATAAAAAAAAAAAAAAGGAAAAANCGGCAGAAATTTGGACAAAATTGCGGACAGCGATACGCGATATTTCTCTTCGAATCTAGAAAAGTTGGAAATACCGTTCCGTTTGTTTGCCTTCGTCCCTCGATTCCGTTGTAAATCCGTTCTATGCGCGATAAAATAGAATGGGAATAGGGAGGGAAAAAACTGAAAAGCCCGAGTACGATCGAACGAATTTTTTTCCTGCCCCTCCTTTTCCTCTTTTTTCGAACCCCCCCCCTTACTTAAAATACGTAACGGTTCGTTTTCGTTCGTCGCCGATTCGAGCGCTGCGGGTAGGGCCATGCAACAAGAAAGAACATCGCAAATCGAATTAAACGAGTCAACCATAAACCATAAACGAAGTGGACAAGAATATATCTTGCGAAGACTGTGGAACGTAGCAAGGTTCCCTTGTAACAGTTCAGCCAACCAAACAGCTGTGACGAGCTATAAAAACGTAGGTTAGTAGGCCATCCGTGTAGGGTGTGTCGTGTGTGTATGTCTTTTTTTCGTACGCGCGTATGTGTGTATGTATGTGTGTGTGTGTGTATGCACGTGTATCCGTACATCCATTTTTCCCTCCCCACGGTTGTGTATACGTATATACGCATATACGTATATATACGCATATGTATGCAAACGTGTGTGTGTTTATACGTGCCAATATGCCCCTTGCTGCCAACATAAATATCGCGGAACGCGATGCCTATGCGTCTCTCGGTGCACGTTTGCAACCGAGTCGAGAATTCCTCGAGATTTCGATGCGCGTGTGAAAATAACACGGGCAGGCACATTTGTCTTGACATTTGTCTCTCTCGAAATCTTTACGCTGTAATTCCATTCGGTGTGACAACGACACATTTCGATGAATCACACCACCACGTTTTTTTTTTTTTTCCTTTTGAACGAACGAATATTCAACATCTTCCACGAATATTTATCACGTATGTACGACTCGCAATATTGTTCTTTCGTTCGAGTTTCACGGATGCCGATATTTGTCGAACGCGCTTCGGATTGGATAATCGCGAAACAAACAATCGGAAACAAGCGGCATAGTGGGACGAGGGGCGCTCTCGAAAAGCACGATTTCGTTTCTGGGTTGACGCGCACGCTCGATCTCGACACGATCGGTCGATCGATCGATCGATCGATCGCGTTTCGAGGGCGTGACCGTCGAGGCGTGAACACCTCCGCGATCGGTGATTCGATGAACGCGACGTGGTGGACGAAAAAAAGGGGGGACGGAGGGGGGGCGGGGTAAACGCGCGACGGTACACGCACGAGCGAAGAGGGGTGACACGGGGCGAGGGGGGGGGGGAGAGTAATAAATAGCAATAAAAGAAATGAACGGGCGGCTGAGTCGTTGTGAGTTCTGTATGAGTTTTGAGAATGCAAACTGTACCATCAACACTTCGGACACGGAGCTGATGCTGAGGACATACATGGTGACGCCGACCTCCACTGGTGGACCTGCAATCAACAAAACCATCCGGCCTTGGTCGCTTTGATTATCCGCTATGTATTTCTATGTTATACCGTACAATTGTTACAATTGTGCACATTGTACGTTTGTGGAACAACGGTTAAGTTCGTGTGTTACCCCTGATTCGTGCCGGGTTTCGAAACAGGAGGAATTATGTGGCGTAATAGTTTCTATATTGAATCAATTTGAATTAAAAGGGGGGGGGAAGTGCGTTCACATTTATTTTTTTCGAGTCAAATCGCGAATCAGGGGTAAAATGCAAGCGTACAAGTCGAAGAGAGCTCGCACCCTGCACGGAACCAAATCACTCAACAGCATTCGTCGGCCACGTTGCTTTTCCAAGCTAAAAGAATTATTTTTACATTTTGACTTCTTTTATATATATATATATATATACATATATATAGATATATATAATTTTTATTATATATATATGTATATATATATACACACCCATCACAGTCACGCGTTGAGTCAAGATGACGTTACTTCACTCAACTATTATTTTCTTTCATTTCCTCTTTGTACTTTTTCGTTTTCATTCCTTTCTCTTTTTCCATTCAATCTCTTTTTCCTTCACACGATTTCAATCTCTTCTGCTTTGCGGCGTTGTTAACCGACTTATCATACATAATTAAATCGCGTCGAATATATATCTATAGTACTTTTCCAAAGTATTTTATATATTTTTCAATTGTCTCTTTTTTCTCTTGTCTCTTTCCTTTTCTATCCACCTGTCCATCCATCCCCCCTGAACGGTGTGTCGATTCTTTCACGTTCTTTCATCGCATTATCTCTATTTTTTTTTCTCCGTTCACAATCATTCTCTAACTCTTTCTTTTTTTTTCCTTCTGTCTCTCTCCAACTCTCTCCTTCTCTCCCTCCCTCCCTCTCTCTTTCTTTCTCTCTCTCTCTCTATTTCAATCT